ATCTATATGCAGCAACCTGAGGGTTATGTGAAGAAAGGCCAAGAGCATCAAGTCTGGAAGCTAAAGAAGTCTCTTTATGGACTAAAACAAGCTTCCAGATCTTGGAATATTCGCTTTGATGAGGTGATCAAATCCTTTGGATTTGAGCAATGTCCAAGTGAAAGTTGTGTGTACAAGAGGTGCAACGGAAACGTAGTGGTATTCTTGATACTATACGTAGATGATATTCTTCTCATTGGAAACAATGTCAAGATATTATTAGACGTAAAGGTATGGCTTTCTGAACAGTTTCAAATGAAGGACATGGGAGATGCATCGTACATTCTTGGTATGAAGGTCACTCGTGATCGGAAGAAAAGAATGTTGTGCTTATCTCAAGCCGCCTACATTGATACTGTGCTTGCCCGTTTCAGCATGCAGAACTCCAAGAAAGGATTCTTACCTTTCAGACATGGAGTTGCTCTATCTCAGGATATGTGTCCTAAAACACAAAAGGAGATAGATGAGATGGCTAACATTCCTTATGCTTCGGCTGTAGGAAGTCTCATGTATGCCATGCTGTGCACGAGGCCTGATATCTGCTATGCTGTTGGCATGGTAGCTAGGTATCAGTCCAAACCTGGTCAAGGACACTGGATTGCGGTAAAACATATTCTCAAGTATCTGAAAAGAACTCGAGATTATAGTTTGGTTTACCAGTCTGACAATCTAGTTCCTTTGGGTTACACTGATTCAGATTTTCAAGGTGATCGAGATGAGAGAAAGTCAACCTCGGGTTATGCGTTTACCTTGGGAGGCGGAGCTATTTCATGGAGAAGCGTAAAGCAGAAATGCATCGCAGATTCTACCATGGAAGCCGAGTATGTTGCTGCTTCTGAAGCAGCAAAAGAGGCTGTATGGCTCAGGAGCTTCTTGTATGACTTAGGGGTGTCTGAGAGTATGCCTGAGCGTGTAATCATTTATTGTGATAACGCTGGTGCAGTGGCAAACTCAAAAGAACCTAGAGCTCATAAAGCAAGTAAACACATAGAAAGGAAGTACCACATCATACGAGACATCGTAAAGCGAGGAGACATAGCTGTCACTAAGATTGCATCGTTGGACAACTTGGCAGATCCCTTCACGAAGACTTTACCCATTAAGGTTTTCGAGAAACACGTAGAGGGCCTTGGTTTACGATACATTGCAGCTAGACTTTAGTATAAGTGGGAGAGCTTGGTTTTGCATTGTATACTAAAAGTTTAGCTTTAGTATAAGTGGGAGATTGTTGGATTATACTGTAAAGCAAACTTTTAGTACGCTTTTGTATTATTCAATTTCCTTATTAACTGGAATAAATAAATTGTTATTTCACATTGTGTTGCTTTTATTTATGTTTTATATATATTAGCATGTCCACTTATTTAATATTGTAGACAACATGGTGTGTGGAGATCACACAGAAGATCTTGTTGTCAGTTCTTTATTAAATATAAATGGGTTTCACAACTGAGATGGTTATGGACAAAACCATCGGTTTAAGTTGTAGTGTAAACTTGGAATTAGTTTGTCTTGACTATTAGTTTACACTAATGTGCTGCGTCACATTGAAAGGATCACAGTTGAGATATGTTCTTCTATTCTGACATTGAAGAACCAAGATCTCGGTAACTCTGTTAATTCTTAACCTTAGATGAAATAAATTAAATATATGGAATAAATGTTCGTTGCTTTAATTTACCATAAGTGAGAATCCTTAGTGATTCAATATGCTTCGTATTTTGGGCAACTACATTATTCGCATAGTAATTAATTTATTATCATTAAGGCACCATGTCCTGGACATCCAGGTTGATGACATCCCCTTAAGGAACTCAATAAGGATTATTGTATAAACCCTGCAGGTGGATTTAATCCGTACAATAATAAGTTTTGAGTGGTATTACTTAAGGAACTAAAAGATATTAATTAATTAAATTGTCAGAAGATTTAATTAATTAATGGATGTGGAACATCTTAAACATGGGGAATTAATTAAGTTTAATAGAAGCCCAGATTCAATTTGGGTTGGGCTGGGAGTGCAATATTAATTCTTTAATGGAATGAATTAATATTTTATGATTCGAATTATATTCAGGGCTGAATATAGAGATTTGGATCTATAAGGGAGCCCGAGCCCAACACCTTCTAAAGATCCCCGGTCTGGCCCAATTACCTGTTGGGAGACTTATTAATATGCGGTCTTTGTCAAACCCTAGTGACGTTTTTCAAAAGGAGGCGAAAACCACAGGTGCAAGCCGTCAGCTCTAGGGTTTCACGAAGAGCAAAATTCGTCTCCCTCCGTTTGATAGATCGCCGCCCATCCGGTGTTCGAGCGGGGTTCGGGAACAGTCTGGAAGGTCTCTAGCGGAATCAACTTGTTCGTGATTGCTGTTGGTGGTTCCAAAAAGGGTACATCTCTAGTTCATTCTTATAGGAGCATGCTTAGGATCGTTTTATACCATGTATGTACGCGTTGGCATCCAACAACGATCCGTGGGAATGAACAGCCCTCACCGGCGTGTTCCTACAAAAGGTTCAGCTGTAAAATCCATACAAAACCAACACCTACTAAAACTATACGAAACCAACATCTATAAACAGCCTAAAGGCACTGTTTGTATATATTTTATATTTGTATTTAATTTAAAATTTATGGTGGTTATAAAGTAACAATTTTCATAATAAAATATTTTAAAAATAAAATATAAATAAATCTCAAAATTTAAATACTATTACTCCCTTTCCAATTACTTTTGATTAGAAAAATGATCCAATAATTGTGATGAGCAGACAGTCCTCAAAACAAAATCTACTTCAGGGCTTTCAACCAAAACTTATATACTATCTCAAACAATGGCAAACCTCCCATCAACAATTATTAAAATACACAAATCTACTAGATAAAATACACAAAACTCCAACAAACCAAAGTGTGTTTGCATATTATACCGGCAAATCATCCATGGTGGCGAGCACAATTAAACGGGTTAACAACAATATCCTAAGGACTCAGAAAATGAACCTAACAACATAACTATATCTATCAATAACCAACAACAACTACTATACTTCTACACAAAATGATTATACATCGAACAACTAGCAACCAAACAAGGTCACACAACAAAAATATACTGCAGCCGGCAGCAGAAATGTAAAGTAAACAAGCTTGACTAATTATTCCTACAATAGCAGCAGAAAATTATACAGAGTTACACTAATCCAATTAATTAAGCTATATATTGACTTAACCTTAGTCTTATGCTAATATTAAGCTAATTGCAAACTATCTAACAAATACGGCTACAACTAAACTAATAAGAGAACTAATGGTAGGCTAAGGACTAAACCTAGAAGGCCAAAAATAAACCAAATACTAACATAGCACGGCTGAATCTATACTAAACTAACTTACTACTTTAATATCTAACAAACTAATCAAGTCAAACTTACAATGCCAGTAGGTGGACTACACTAGCTCTAAACAACTACAACACAAATTATCATAGCGAACATTAGAAATAAATAGCCATATATACTTCCCTTCAAAGATAAACGCCTAAAAGCTGAGAAATTTTTTTTCGCCCTCGAACAATTACGGTTGACACAGAGGAGGAACTACAGGCAACCAAACAACAAGTCATGAGTAGCTTTTAATTCTTCCCGAAGAAAAATGCAACAGCATCCAAAAGCCATTTAACAAAACATATTTAGCGTAGGGGCAACGGCTAAAACTAATTCCGACATCGATCGAAATAAAGCACATTTCAGTTGTTAGGTATCGAACAGTCTAATTTAAATAAAATCGTAAATGAGAACAACCTATAAGCCAATATATCATACAACAGCTCAAAACATACACACAATCATCATATGGAATATATTTAGAGAGGAATAATTGAAAAGGCAAAACTAAATGCAAACTCTTAATAAGTTAGTGTGAAACTAAATGAAAACTCTTAATAAAGAAAGAAAATAAAAACGATGGTTCATTTGTGCATTTTCCATAAAATAAAAATAAAAAACATAAAATCATTAAAAGTGTGTTTGCAAGTACTCACTTTTTCTCTAACGATTTAAAAAAAACAGATTTCAACTAGAAGTGAGAAGACACCGAAGAGTTCTTCTTTTATAGAGCTAAGTAGAAAATCAGATATTCTTTCAAGGCCTTTAAATTCATTTAAGAAGAACCATCATCCTGACATCACTTTGTAGGATACTCGAAAGAATTGTTCATTGTGATTTATTTAATACAAAAATAGCTAAACACTATACAAAATGGATTCCAAGAACTCGAGTCATCACCGATGCTTATTCATTTCATTATACCAATACCAATTCAAACTACAATAGGCAACCATCTCATACTTGCTAACAACATGGAAATTGAATTCCATTATAAAAACCAATACCAACCTAAAAAGTAAACCTCAAATTAAGCCCAACAAAGACAATTTACCTCACAAAAATCAATTCAAAGTTTAATTTAAGCTCAAAAGGTTTCATACTTCAGTTTAATTTACCATCTCAAAACTTTTTGAGACTACAAACAATAATTCCAAGAAGAAGACTATATTCAAGTTAGAATTAATAATCCCTATCATTATGAAATATCAATCAAAATCATCGAATATGCCAAAGAATAAGCAGATTTAACAAAACATAAACTAGCAACCACAAAACAAGAACGAGAACTCCAAAGAAAAACCAAATTCAATTCGAAGTTATCACTTAGGCAATATCAGTCCAAAGCAACCAACTACATACCCCTATACCACACCAATGTTCGAACCAGGATGAAATTCCTTAAAAAATCAATACCAATCTTAATTAAAACACAATAAGAACAATTAACTGATAATCATGACTGAGAAGAGGGGGATAACAAAAGAAATTCCACCAAAGTCAGTGTCGATAAATTAAACACAATTGGTACAATTTTACCTGATAATCGATTGAAGGGAAAGATAGAAAATTACCCAAATAATTTTGACTGGGATGAGGAGAGGACAGTGTCGGTTGGAGTTGCTGGGCTGGGCGAAGGTGCGGCCATGGCGGTCGAGACTGAGAAGCGGAGGCGCGCATTGATTTGGGTGGTGGTTTGTGGCAGCCTTAGCTCGGTCCAGGAGAAGATGGGGATGAAGAGGCTGTAGTCACGGCGACCAGCAATGGCAGAACGGAGATGGTTTGGGCGCCGATCCACGGTGGCTGGGGGTGGTGCGGCGTCGGGTTTGGGCAGAGGCAGAAGCGATGGCAAGGAGGAGTGGCAGTACAGCGCCATTCGGGAGAAGTGTTACCGGCGATTGGACGGTGGTGAGAGGAAAATGAGTAGATGGTGAAGGGGCACCGTCGATTGGGGTCTGCGGATGGAAAAGAATTGATTTGGAGGAAATGCCTATCAATGTGAAGTTTGTCAAAGTATACCCTTTCTTCGTTTTTTATTTTATTTTATTTTTTTTTTTTTTAATTTTAAAATATATTTATATACCTTTTAAAATTTTTATTTATAATTATAAGATTAATTTTTTTGTTACAATTTGAAGTGCATAACAAATATAATTAGGATAAGATTTTGTTTCATATGTAGTTGTTACACCATAATTATCGAAACTAATGATTATTTTTTAAAAAACATTTTAAATAATTTATATGAATTTTTCTTTTTTATAATTAAAATATTGACCTTTTTTTGTTACGGTTTGAATTCGGTAACAAATACGTATAGGACGACATGTTGTTTTTTATGTATTTGTTACGGATAACTTATCGAAGCAAATAAAAAAATGTTGACCATCGAAAGAAACTTTTTGTGTCGATTAATTTTGTAACAAAAACTTCTTTTTGTAACAGACTTATTGTTCCATGCAGTTTAGGTGTTACAAAAAGTCAATTTTTTGGTAGTGACATAAGAACGAAATCGTAAACATGCCAGCAATATCCCCAAAACAATGATAGTAGATCTCACCTTAAAATTTTTACCTTGAACCTGAAGGGGCCGCAAGCAGATGAGAGTAAGTCTTGATCTCGTCATTCACTAAACCTTGTGCCACTATCAAAAAAATGGCCATTTGTAGCAGTTCTAAAATCGCTACAAATGAGCATTTTTCGTTATAAAAAATTATTTGTAACGATTTTGTACCAGATTTTGACCAGTGCATATGCTCGTGTTACAAAAAGTCTTTATACCGATATTTTCCGTAACAAAAAGTGGGCAGTCAACGCACGTGAGAAATCTTGTTGTAACGATTTTTGTAACGCTGGCAATGTATTTTTGATTTATTTGTAGTGGGTGTTTCTCGTAATAAAAAAATTGTTACAATAAATATTCATATATTTGTAATTAATTTTGTTACGGTATAAATTTTGTTACAATAAGTTGATTGTTAGAATATTATTTTAATGACATTCATAATTTTTTGTACCGGTATATGTAACGGCAATAACTTCGCAACAAAAAAGAGTATCCTTTTTTTTAATAACAAAAAAATCAATACCGGAACCAAAAAATCTATATGATGAAAGAAAATACTGCCAAATGATATTACAACAAATTTGTATCACCATCAGTTGCACAAAGTATATATTGTCTAGGAATATAACTATTTCTCAAAGCGGCCAATATATACAATCCAAAAGTAAAGCATAGCAAAAAAATACAAATTCCAATACAAATGTAAGTTCAACTAACGAAAATTACTCAGTCAGTATCAATCCACAACAACAAGTCAATCATCATATAATTGAGTGCAACGCTGCATCGCCTCATGTAACGTCAAAGTATTTTAGATTTGCATACCAAAATATCATTAGTCATCTCATCATCAAGACCACGTTCTGCGTTTGAGACGATATCCAAATTTCCAAAATTGTCAAATCTTTCATTTTCCTTCATCTAAGAGTTAGCCAAATAAGAAACCGGTAGTCAAGTTCACTTAGACATAAGGATATGAAATATATCAATTAGAACATGACACAATAAACAAATATATCCAAATATTCATTTGAATAGGAAAATTTTAGGGTAAATATTTAAAATCTCTAATCATACTAACCTGCATATCTCGGGATAATTTAATTTGGCAAGGTATTTGTAAATCATTCAACTATGATTTTGACTATATAATGTACAATAGGGTCGGATTAAGATTTTTTCATCTTGGGTTACTTTAAATTGTTTTATAGCATCATTTCACCTAATAAAATTTAATCACTTCAATTGAAACATTTATGATTTGGAATGATAATCCTCACCTGTGACATCATTAAGCGTTGGAAGACTTTAGCTGTTTCTACACACTTCCTTTATAGATACTAATATGATCTTAATCAAATTGTAAAAACCATCTCAAAGGATAAAAGAAAAAACTAAAAGACATGTAGAAAAAAAAAACCACCAAGTGGAAATAAGCCAAGCCACTGCTGAAAAAAATAAATAAACCCTTAAAGGAAATCAAAATGTATCAACAGGTTGACAGGAACTCAATCAGTTACCACATAAATCAAAATGAAACACCCACTAGTTAATTTCTCATTTTTAAAGGTAAGGAAAACATTAAAACCACTAGAACAAGAAGTAACTTCGAGTATATATCCTTATAGAGCCACTCATCGTTCCATTTTCTTTTCCTTTTCTTTTTCCTTTTATTTAAATTTACTTTTAAAATGGGTTTATGGAATGTAAGAGTTCTTATACATAACAGGTATGTCATAACTGCATATAGTAAATGAGAAACGTAGTACATTTCTTACATCTAAGGAAATACTGTTTGCGAAATAATTTATTCAAGGTACCTTGTATCCATACAGGCCTTTGAAATTATCATTGCTATCAAGATTACCGGGATACTAATCACTTGCTCGTTGTGATATAAACGGCCAAAGAAAACCCCATGATATGATAGCTCCAAAAAGAACAAATCAATTGAGTATATGAGGACAAATTAGACCGCACCCAACATATGTTGGACTAAAATTAAAATAGAACCTGCATTGATGCCAATTTTTAAGATTAAACACCTAAGTTCTTAACAAAACTCCAGATAAAAACTCTTGGTCTTTCCAATTAAAAAAAAAAACTCCAGATATATATGCTGTGAAATAATAAAAGATCATAGGGTTTACGAATTCCTGAAATGAGCCAATCCAAAGCTGGAAAAATTGTCAAATCCATATGAATCACCAACACCACTAAAGAACCATTTAAAACAGCTTCAGAAAAAACTTATGCTTAAATATTTTTCAAGACAACTCTTCTAATAGATATATATCTAACACATTCAATACATTATTAAAAAAAATGGAATATTTTAAAAAAGGAGAAAATAAACCATTCAATACAGGTTTGGTTTATTCAATACACATACACAAATACTTAGTATATATAACTTTCAGAATGTACAAAACTTCGGAGGCTCATATATAAAGCTTACGTCAACTCATTACTAGAAAAGTAAGAGAAGTATCCAAAATTTAACACCAAGAAATTCAAACCTAAGATATGTGTGCTTAATTATTGTACTTGACAATAATGTAAATTTTGCAAGTATAGTTAGTATAAGACAATGAAAAATCTTCTATAGAACTCAAAAAGTGTATATGAAACATCCGTGTTTTGAAGGATTTTGACAAACAAGTTAACAAAATGAATGAATCGGGCTAATCATGTGTCACAACAAGGCTACAAATTGATCAGAAGTACAATCTAAACCGTAATCAAGGTCAAGAAGAAAACACAACAAAACAACTTATGAATCACTGCAATAGGATCTGTAAAGTATTGTTATTGAATCCTCATTCATGTGTTCAATAAGAAATTGAGAATGAAAAAGATTTTCATCTTAGTACACACATCACCATTGGAACTCATATTTTTTACCTCAACAAAAAGAGATTGATAATAAAGAAAGAACAAAGCACAAAATCGCAAACTACATCATTATATCTCTGTAAAGTTAAACAAACCAACACCATACTTTCCATGTGCATAATCTTCAAGAGATACATGAATTGGTGCAAGACACCAAATTTCACCTTTACATATTTCCATGAGTTGGCTGATTGATTTTTAACTATACATTAAATTAACTTTCAACATTAACCAAACAATACCAAGAAACCAAATATTGTCAATTTCCCAAAAATAATGCATAAGTACCATTCCAATCCAATTTCTCATACACTCCGTAAAGAAATTTTATACCATTTTAGTACTACAATTCCATGCTTAATAGGGAAATAAAAATCTTAGCACCAAATTATATGCCCTAAGGCCCAAAACAATCGGAGCTCAAAAAATTAACAAACTACTTCAAATGGGCATTTTGTCGAACATCTAGTGTGTTTGATGGATGGGATAGTACGTCTACATAACTTGGGCAAGAGTAATCCATGGGTTCGGCCATTACTTAATGACCAAATACACACCCCCACCTCCTCACACCCAATCGATTCAGACAGAATTGATACATACACACAAAATAAAATCTGACCTCACAAGAACTAAATTGAACTCAAGCAGCAAATAAACAGAGACGATCAACTCAATCAACACACGACGAACAAATAAGATTGAAGGCAAGCCAAAAGTTACCTGAGAGTTGCGAATTACGTCCACCTCCAGAAGACGAAGACAAAGAGCAATGGTCCACCGAGCTCCAACACGAACAATGAAGAAGAGAAAGAAAAAGAGAAAGAGAATGAAAGAACAAAGAAGAAGAAGACGACGAACGAAGAAGAACGAACGAACAGAGGAATAAGTGGATGGGGGCGCGTCGAGGGTTTGTTTACAAGTCTCAGTTTTCATTTTTTATTTTAATTTTGACTTTTAATTGTATATAATAATTTTATATATAAATAAACAATTATTTTAATTTTAATTTGTATATATTAATATGTAAATATTATATGTATATATGATATATTATTTAAGGTTATTTTAAAGTTAATTTGAAATTTAAAATTAAAATTATTGCAGTTGTAACGAAAAGAATACCGCAACAAAAGTAAAAGAGTTGACCAAATCAAAAAATCTATTTATTACGAAAATATCCGGAACAAAAGATAGATTTTGTAACAAAAAATTGTTGCGGCAGAGATTTCGCTACAAATAAGCATTTTTTTGGTAGTGTACAATAACTCCATCTGATCCAGAGCGGCATTAATTATAGTTTCAGCATCACCATAACATTTTTCAGCAGATAATATTCGAGCCAACAAGATCCATCCTTTGAGATTAGATCCTCCTTCCAATTTAATCAACAAATTTGCAAGAATAAGTGCTGCAAGAATCTTTATTTGCTCCGAATTTTCTAAACATTAATGGTAGACAATAGAAGGGTCCTTCGTTTTCATCATCCTCCCAGCAACCTCCAGAGACTTCAAAGCTTGCTTC